TATAATATAATATACATTAATTATTTCTATTCCATGTCACCTCACTTACCATATCCTATCACCCTACTGCACCACATTCTCTCCACCTCTCCATCGGAGACGGCCATCAGCTCCGACGATCACTACAAGACGGCCTCTCCGGTAACTTCTCCGGTGGTCACTCCGGTAACTGTTCCGGCGACCGTTCCTTCGATAGTTTCGGCGGCCGCTCCGGTGACTCAAAGATTTCCAGAAAATTAAAACTTGAAAATCACATCCCCACCCCCATGGATCAACCTACCACCTTCCCATCCCTGCCTCCACCTCCTAAAAAATTACCTAAAAAAAAATTTGTATTCAGTGTAACTGTATGCGACTAATTGTGACCAAGTGTGTATTCAATGTGACTAACTGTGACCAAATTTGTATTGAGTGTGACTGTCTGTGACCAAGGCAATCTCAAGTCACAATCAACACAAAATCGGTCACAATCAAACGACTGAGAAGGCAACTAACCTTACCACCAACACAATCCCCACAACTCTAACTACTACTGAAACTCAAACAATTGGGCAAGCCGCCAGCCCCCCCTCCACTACTAACACCCTCACCATTCCACTTATAGATCAAACCCAAACTCAAACACACAACCAGCCAAACACAAACACAACCCCAACCGCCAACAAGATATTGCTCAACAAAAATGAAATTTGAGGGAAGATGTCAGAAATTGAAAAAACTGAACAAAAATCAAAAACTGATTTATTGCTCAACAAAAATGAAAAACTGAACATTTCTTGCAAGCAATAGTTGTTGACGACGCTACGAGCAACTCGTTGCTTCAATTGCGAAGGCGAAGCAAGGCGACGCTGCTTGCAGTAATAGCGACTCCTAACTATGCCATTGTCCCGCTCGTCCTTGCCACGTGTGGTGTTTGTGTGGCAGGCGAAGCAAGGCGAAGCTGCTCGCAGTAATAGCGACGCCTAACTATGCCATTGTCCCGCGCGTCGTTGCCACGTGTGGTGGTTGTGTGGCACCGTCGTAAGGGAGCTGCTTACGTCACGATGGTGGCGATGACAACTTGGCTTCGATGGCAGGGGCAGTGGTGGATATGGTGTGTGGTTAATAGAGAAAGAGGGTAGAGTGAAGAAAGAGAAGATGTGGAGATTGAAGAGAGAGGAATGAATTGGGGAAAGAGATGATGCAGACATTGAAGAGAGAAATGAATTGGGAAAAGAGATGATGCAGACATTGAAGAAAGATAAATGAATTGGGGAAAGATGTCAGAAATTGAAATTTGGGGTAGGCCGTAGGGGTGGGGTGGATTGTTTGTTATAATAAATATGTATTAACTAATTTATTAAATCTATATTAACACCTGATTAACTAATTTTAAACTTCACCCTCCTTGTTTTTGAATTCTATATTTGAGATGTAGGGTTTTGGGTAATTTTCTCTTTAACTAATTTAAGGGCGTGTTCGGTAGAGATTAAAATCAGATTAAAATTGAAAAATTAGTCGTTATTGTTGACTTTTAGCCGTTAGTGTATTTTTCAATTTAAGTGTATTTTTCAAATTAGTTATTTTAATAGAGTGTTTGACCTAATTTCACTTGATTGAATGGTAGCCTGTAACGTGCTCATGGGTTGCTGAACAATTGAATTGAAAAGCCCAATAATCCAAATCTTTAAAGAGGAAATTACACCCACACCTTCTTTTCAATTAGCATTTTCAAATATCATGAATCAAGTTTCATGTTACAAAAATCAGGTTTTAATTAATAATTTAAAAACATTTTTTTTTATATCTATTTACAAGAAATTAATTTATATATTCTCCCCCACCCCATCTACTCCAAACCCTAAAATCAATTAACCAATTACCTCTCCACTCTCAATTCCTCCTCCAGACTCTCTGCTCTACGCCACCGCCAGCTCTTCTTCCTCTCCTCTCCTCTCCTCTCATCTCCTCTCCTCTCTTCTCCATCTTCTCACCTTCACTCTTACCCGCTTCTTTCCCTAGGGTTTCGAAGATCCAACCGGCCCATTCTCCGTCGCCTATCCCTTTCTCTCTCTCTCTCCGCATCGCCGCTTATTTAACATCGACGACGCATCGCCATGTAGAAGCAGCGAGCGGTGCTTCTGTAATTACTAGCACCAGCATTGAACACTGCTGCAAATTTCACTGGCGGTGAGCACTGCTGCTATTGACAACAACGACGAGAGCCGCTACAATCTGCAGTGAGCGTCTTCGCCGCTATAACATCAAAGGTAGCACGTTGCTATCGCAATCCGACAGGCACTGGCCAGATCTTTTGTGGTAGTCACTGTCCAGATCTGTTGTGGTGGTTGCAGATCTATTGGGTGTGTGTGGGTGCGGCGGTTGGGTGTCAGGTGTGTGAGGCAGTGGCCGTGGTTCCGTGGTGTTGAGATCGTGGTTTTTGTTCTTGGAGTGGTAGTGGCGACCGTGGTTCCGTGTTTTGGTGTTGGTGGAGGGTTTTTGAGGTGGTGAGTTGGAGCTCAAAAACGGTTGCGTTGGCATTGGTGGCTTCGTCGTCGTTGCCGTCTCGATGATGGTGAAGTAGTGGTGGTTTTTTGTGGTGGATGCGGTTTTGGGGGTGGTGATAGTGGTGATGGGAGGGTGTGGTGTTTAATATGTTGATGTTGCTATTGGGCGGCGACGGTGGTGGTGCCGCTAGTAGAGGCAGTGGCGAAGTGGTCACAAATGATCACTAATTTGGTTGGTTGGCGACCAATAAACGATATGTTACCAATGAATTAGATAAAATGTGACCATTACATGATGTGTGACCTAAAAATTATTAATTTGTGACCAATAATTTGATAAATTATGACCTAAATATAATTTATATTCAATGCATTGTGACCATAAATAAGTATTGTGACTTATAAATTTTGTGATCTGTAATCGATGAACAAATTGTGACTTTTTAAATTTTTAAGTTGTGATCGATAAACAAATTGTGAC